CCTATATCATTTTTGGGGGTTCCTTAGTCTAGCTATGGTATAATGGGCCCCAAAACCCTATTCTAATTACAAAGGCCCCTATATTAGGAGAGAGGCTTCGGGCATCGGGGTGAGGATGCAGGGTCTAGAGTCCAGCTCAAAAGGGTTTAGGGTTTAGGGTTTAGGGTTTAGGGTTTAGGGTTTAGGGTTTAGGGTTTAGGGTTTAGGGTTTAGGTAGGTCCAGCTCAAAAAGCGGTGCTTTCTCTGGGTTCTTATGGCCTCGGTTTGGTTGCGTAGTCTTCCGATGTCACTGCTTCTGTTTATGTCAGGGCCAAGTTTGGTTTTGGCCTTGGGATCGAGGTGGGGGTAAAGTTTGGGTTTTAGGATTCTAGGTCCTAGGTAGGCTAAGGGCAGTGCTGGACCGTTGTGTCAAGTGTCACTTGCTACTTGTGCTAAGTTGGTGTTAGTGGCCTGCCACTGTGTGCCTCACAAACTTCAAGCAGGCAGAATTGTGTAAACACGTTGTGGCGTCCTTCGGTTCTTGTTATTTTTCGGGGTATGTTTACCCAGATGGTCTCGAGAATTCCCTGTTGCGGTACCGGAGAAGCCAGTTTCAAGCACACCAGGCTCCCTCTGAGCCACGGAGCTTGGATTGGGTGCTATGCACACAACTGTCACTGCTGTTGCTGTTGTCATGCTGCGAAAAACTGATTGGTTTGTGATAATGATACCTTGCCCTCTAGTTCCATAGCACTGTCGTGCTGTACTGGTCTGGTCCGTTTGTCATGGCCGGTGCTGTTCCGACATTGAATTTTTCCGAGACCCCTGATTAGGGATCATGCTCGCAAAAGTAGTCCCGAAGAGTAACGCTAAAGCGCAAACCCGGAACCGTCCTTCCATGCTAGTTAACGGTACGAGCCGCAGTGCAATCCTGTCACTGTAGTGATCGCAACACTACGCTCCCCTCAATAAATGATCCGTTGCCGCCCGACGAACCACACACTCCAGACTTTGCAAACGTGAAGCTGTATAGTGAGATGGATGATCTGGAAGAAATTTGGTGGACGACGCTGGGCCCCATCCCATGACATAAAGCATGAAGCGTAATGCAGATACTACTAGTGGTGAGAAGTGACAAGATGGGAGAATCACGCCGAACAAAAACAGCTTTCCTGCTCGAGGTGATGCAAAAGTCTTCCCCATTCTCCCGAGGTGGACAGGCATCGCGAACGGCTAGCTTTCATGATGGAAGAGGCTCGCCACCTCTCCTTTCGCCTGCAAACCGAAACTCTCTGATCCCTTAGTCTGCAACGTCGGTCGGTAGTAGCATCCCAGCCAGACGCAAGAAGACCACGAGCGAAGCGCTGTAGCCTACGATGGCACAACATCGTAAGCTCCCACCATGATGCCTGAAAGTACAGCAGCCCTTGGCCCTCAAAACAACGCCCGGGATCCTCCATTTGGGTAGTTGTCAAAATTATGGTCCCTTCTTGGGTACCCTATAAATAGTAGGTGCCGTATTATAATAAGGACCCAAAAAGGGACCCTAATTTTGACAACCACCTCTATTCCGAAATTTGGGGGTACCTTATTTTGGGGTCCTTATATTCAGGATCCTACTATTTAGGGTACTATATTAGGGTCCCCTGTTTTCGGAAACCCCCATTTACAAGGCCGCTGCCATGCGTCGCTCGGCTCGAGGCCCAGCTCCGGGCTCGGTTCCACGATCATCTCAGTACTTAAAGGATCATTGGACTAAGGGTTTAGGGTTTAGGGTTTAGGGTTTAGGGTTTAGGGTTTAGGGTTTAGGGTTTAGGAGGATCATTGGACTTAGTAAGTAGGGGTATAATTAGGGTAACTATACTTATAACCCCAATTAGGGGACTTATAACCTTACTTACTAAGTCCCATGATCCTCCAAGTACTGGGAGTTCCCTAAAATAAGGGGTACCTCATTTGGGGGTCCTTATAATGGGGATCCTACTATTTAGGGCACTATAGTAGGGTCCCCTATTTTCGGAAACCCCCATATTGGGAAGAAGTAGTAAGAATAATGAGTATCCTAGCACTAATCTGTGAACAGGGTAGTAAGAATCGGGAGGGGTAGTATGTATATGTCTATACGTATGTATGAATGGCAAGAGCAGCCTTCATAGTATGGTCAATGCTTGCACTGCATGTCTGGTACCTGTCTTTGTCATCGTAAAGTTGATGGCAATGTTGTTATAAAGGGGAAGAGTCTTCTCAAAAGTAACATCAATGTGTACGATGGACAAGAATGAAGTCCGGATAGTCACACTATTGGTGGCATTCATCACACCCAACATCACGACCGTACTTCTGGCGACCACGACGGCCTCTTAACCAGCTCTGGTCGTCTCTCTTCCTCCCTTCCGGATCACGACTAGATGTAATCCCTAAACCCTAAACCCCTAAACCCTAAAGATCATGAGAAAGGCCAAGCTGGAAGACTGACGTCCCAGGCCATGGCGGCCCCACGGCATCATCAGCGCTCTGGGGCAGGTGGAGGCTCTCTGTTGTCAGGGTCTCTCGCTCCTAGTTATCAAACGCTGTCGTTGTTTTATCCCTTCTAGTCCCCATGTAGTTATACTATTATGTACCCCCCTAAACTATATTTTTTAGCAGTAAGCACCCCTTTCTGCTTTGCTGAATTCCAGACGCTTTTGAGCAGGTCTGGCTTCATCACGCATGACGTCAGCAAGGACCTTGTGGAAAGTGCATAAAGGAACAGAAGGCAGAGGGGGGGTGCCCAAGTCTACAGATCCTTGCAAACGGCAGTGGTGATAGCAGTACCAATCATACTCGCCGTGCTGCAAGAATATGTCCAAGAGGGGCCCCGGCTATGATGGTATCATCTACCCCAAACCTCGCTCTTGCAATGTTTTTCGGATTTTCATGATGCCTCGGCGACAGGAGCTCCAGCCCCCCGACTTCCCTCAAGCGCGAGAGCATGGTCGTGCACACCCTAGAGGATTGGATGGCCATGATTTCAGGGTTTAAGGGTTTAGGGTTTCAGGGTTGTGGGTGTTCCGTTGGATGCGAGTACCTGCGCTCGCTCGCCCGTTTCATGTGCCAGGCATCGCTGGGATCACTCGCCATCAGATAATGCAGGCTACGATCAACTTCGGCATAGAAGCACGCAGTGGACTATTCATGCCTTTCCCGGCTGATGGAATGCCACATGTGTTCGGTTTCAAGCGCCTCACCCTGGAGTGTTAGATCTTTGCAGCGACACGCAAGAGGTGAATCCTTAAGTGAACTCGGAAAGGCAGACTTAAGGGGACCAAACTGCGTACGAAGAAGCACTGTGAGGTGGCAGCATCCCGATCCTTGTCCATGACCCTTCCTGCGGGTGGTGCCTTGCTCTTCTGGACGACCTGTCTCTCAGCCCGGTGCCAAGCTTCCCTTAATGGTCCGTCCTACCATCAGGGTACCATAAGGGTATCTCTCTAAATTAGGGTCCCTTTTTGGATCCCCAACATAGTACGGCAGCCTTATAAACAGGAGCCTAAAAAGGACCCTAATTGAGAGAGCTACCCATAAGGGTATCATATGCGATACATAGAGTCCTTTAAGGTCCTATAGGGGTACGTCCCAAGTCCAAGGGTTGCCATGTAAAGGGTTCCTTTAAGGGCTCCTTTCAGGGTTCCTTTAGGGGCTCCTTTAAGGGTCCGTAGTAGAAGGGTTCCAAAGCCCCAAGAAGGAAGAGAGTAGAAACGACTCGGTAAAGATTAGATATGGGTCTTGAAGACAAGAGTTTGAGAGTACTGCTTTTTTACGGCCAAAGCTCAGAAGCCCTCTGAGGAGGGTCTCCGGCAGACGTGGAAAAGCAGGCCTTCAGGTGGCGATGCGCCCGAGCCCTGAAATGATGTTGGCTTCACCAGGTGGTTGTTCTTACTGTTTAGGGTTTAAGCTTTACGGTGGCTGCTTGGGTTTGGGGTTTAGGATGTTGCTGAGTTCGGCCTTCAGAGGCTTGATTTTCTTTCTTCGGCGATGGGGGCAGGGGGGTGGGGATTCTTGATGCAAGTTGCTTGTTGCATCGTTTTCATTTATGTTTGGTCCAACTGTTCTGGTTTTCGTTGATTTTGGTCAAGGGCAGTTTTCACAACAATGAAGAGGCAGCAGTGCATCAGTCGGAACTCTGATGACCACGGCGCGACCACCTCGACACCGCAGCCGCCGCCATCACCACAACCATCACCCCCAGCAACAACAATCAAACCAATGACTCCAACGAGACCTGGTACTCAACTACTCCAGCACCTGCGCAGACAGCAGGAGCAACGACTAGTCAGTCAAAGCGCGTGCAATGCACGTTGCGGTGGCAGCAGCAGCAAGCGGGCGATCACTTCTGCACCTGAAGCAAATTCGGGACTGCTCAATCGGTAACTCTTCTCAGTTTTGCAATTTATTGCTATTGCCTTGGTTGTGGGGGCGGCTTGTGTCTGCTCTGACTGCTGCAGTGTTGCTGCTGTCTGCCGGTGCCACACACATATACCCTGAGCCTGTAGTAGTGTGCCAAGATAAGAATGTTGCACATTGCAGGTGCCATGGACGGTCTGAGCGACTCTTTCCGTTCCGTTGCTGCTTACTTGTTGATTTGGGTAGTTGTCAAAATTAT